ATGCCATGCCTCCCTTAGCGCCGGCCCATCCACCGCAGACCCCCCGCAGGGAGCTCAGGGGCGGAAGGAACTCGGCAGGGCCACCCCCTGTGGCTGGTCCCTTGGTGCTCACCAACGTCCTCCGTGAAGGTGCAGTGAGGCCTCCCCACCCTCTCTCGCTCCCCCTGAGTCCGACAGGTCACGTGACTGGTTTGGGGCAGGTTGGTGGGCCTTGAAGGCCGAGAAAGCAGTGTGGGTGCCTCCGGGGAGCCTCGGGGGCCGGGCTATCAGCAGGACAGACCCCCCACCAGTGAGGAGAGGCCATGAAGAAGCTGGAGGAGGCGTGTGCCCATGAGGCTTGGCTTTGGTCGCCTCCCAGCCCGGAGCCCTCCTCACCACCTGGGTCCCAGGTGACACACACCCGCCTGGCATTTCCCCCGATGTCCAGAGCCCAGCCCAGAGCTGGGGGTCGGCTTCGGGCGCGGGTCACACACGATCCACCTGCCTCCACGGAGACCAAGCAGGCGGCTCCCGAGTCCCCCGCCCTCTCCCAGGGCCGCTCCGTCAGCCTCATGGTAAAGCCATTACCACCTCAGCCCTCCCCGAGTCAGAGGAGGGGAAATTAAAACCAGGTCGTTTCCGACAGCCGGGCTGCCACTCCTGCTGCCGCTGCCCTTGGCTGGGCCGGGCGGAACTGGGGAGCCCCCTCTGACGCACATGGCCCCGGAGGGCAGGGGGGCAGCCCGCATCACCCGCCCTTCCCCCTGGGGCATTGGGACCAGCCCCAGTCTCTACCTGGGGGGCGCTGTCGAGAGCCAGACCCAGGGCCTGGGAGGCCTCCGAACACGTGTGCACATGTGTGAGCGCGTGACGAGCCCCCGCCTGGGCCCTCTGCTGCCCAGGCTCTTGTAGACACGCAAAGACGGCGAGGCCAGTCCCGCTGGGAGCGCCTGCGCCCAGAACACTGACACGGTCCCCGCCATGGACACAGTCCCCACCACGGGCACAGTCCCCACCACGGGCACGGCCCCACCACGGGCACAGTCCCCACCACGGGCACGGCCCCACCACGGGCACAGTCCCCACCACGGGCACGGCCCCACCACGGGCACAGTCCCCACCACGGGCACGGCCCCACCACGGGCACAGTCCCCACCACGGGCACGGCCCCACCACGGGCACAGTCCCCACCACGGGCACGGCCCCACCACGGGCACAGTCCCCACCACGGGCACGGCCCCACCACGGGCACAGTCCCCACCACGGGCACGGCCCCACCACGGGCACAGTCCCCACCACGGGCACGGCCCCACCACGGGCACAGTCCCCACCACGGGCACGGCCCCACCACGGGCACAGTCCCCACCACGGGCACGGCCCCACCACGGGCACAGTCCCCACCACGGGCACGGCCCCACCACGGGCACAGTCCCCACCACGGGCACGGCCCCACCACGGGCACAGTCCCCACCACGGGCACGGCCCCACCACGGGCACAGTCCCCACCACGGGCACGGCCCCACCACGGGCACAGTCCCCACCACGGGCACGGCCCCACCACGGGCACAGTCCCCACCACGGGCACGGCCCCACCACGGGCACAGTCCCCACCACGGGCACGGCCCCACCACGGGCACAGTCCCCACCACGGGCACGGCCCCACCACGGGCACAGTCCCCACCACGGGCACGGCCCCACCACGGGCACAGTCCCCACCACGGGCACGGCCCCACCACGGGCACAGTCCCCACCACGGGCACGGCCCCACCACGGGCACAGTCCCCACCACGGGCACGGCCCCACCACGGGCACAGTCCCCACCACGGGCACGGCCCCACCACGGGCACAGTCCCCACCACGGGCACGGCCCCACCACGGGCACAGTCCCCACCACGGGCACGGCCCCACCACGGGCACAGTCCCCACCACGGGCACGGCCCCACCACGGGCACAGTCCCCACCACGGGCACGGCCCCACCACGGGCACAGTCCCCACCACGGGCACCGCCCCCACCACGGGCACAGCCCCCACCACGGGCACTGGCCCCACCACGGACACAGTCCTCACCACGGACACGGCCCCACCACGGGCACAGCCCCACCATAGCATGGCCCCCACCACGGGCACAGTCCCCACCGCGGGCACAGCCCCACCACGGACACAGCTGCGAAGACCTGGCTCTCACTGGGACACCTGAGCGGCCAGGCAGCAGGGAGCACAGAAGGCCCCACAGCCCGGGCTCGCACTGCACTCAGGAGACGGTGAAGGCTTCCTGGGGGAAGTGGCTGAGCTGGCCTTTGGACAAGTGGAGGAAGGGAAGGGAGCAAAGACCTGCTGGTCAGAGGACAGGAGGGCCAGGGGGCTGCCAGTGCAGGGGCAGGACAGGCCACGGAGAGCTGGATGCCACGGGGACTGCTGCCGACACGGGTGCCGGGCCCTGGCCCACAGCCGGCACCACCGGGCAGAAGGAACGAGCAATTGACCCCCACCCCCCGGGCACACAGCCAGACCTGCTCCCAGCAACCCCACAGCCTGCTGGACCCGTCACCCTCCTGCTGCCCTTCCTACCTGGGGGCCGAACCTGATCACAGGACACAGGTCACAGCGCGGCAGCCAGCTGCGGCTGGGCCAGGGCCAGCCAGCACTTACGCCACCTCCCAGGGTGCCCACGCCTGGAGCTGGCTGGCAGGGTGATCATCCATGCCATCTGCAGGGCACAGGGCCCCTTGCTGCACAGCCTGAGCTCGGGGACAGCTGCCGTCCCCTAAAACACAGAGTCAACGTCTAAGACCCCGGACTCCCCAGCTCTAATGCGACAGCCACGGTCCCTGCTGGGCACCCAGCCCTCCCCCTCGAACCCAAGACCCACTAGCCCCATGGGTTCTTTTGTGACAGGCACCTCGTGTCCTCGCCAGCAGCAGCGACAGGCTCTCCCTCTGCGTTCTGCCCACCCCCCACCCCACCGCTGTTCTGAGACCTCAGGAAGCAGAGATTCTGGGGTTCGGCCGAGCTGGGTGAGGTCAAGAGCCCACCACCCAGCGTGGCCAGGAACAGGGAAGGGGGAGAGGGTGGGGTGCAGGCCCAGCCCAGATCCGCTTCTCGGGGTGCCTGGAGAAGAGCCGGGGCCCCAGGGGTGTGGCAGGGAAGGCGGTGCGGGGGACAGAGAAGACGCAGCCAAAACACAGACAGCAGGAGAGGCCAGTCGGGGGCCGGGCTGGCTGGAGGCTCGAGGCCAGGGCTCTGGGATGCGAGCAGCCCTGCGACTCCCCCGTCCTCTACGCCGTCCACACCTTCACCTGAAGCTCTGGTTTTGGCGCCTGCAGGCTGCCTGTCTTGGGATCCCCTCCTGGGAGCCGGCCCAGTGCCTGGGCTGGGGGGCAGGCAGGCCCGTGCGGCAGCCGCTGGCCTCTCTGTCGCACGGAAAGCTGGCTGGCTGGGCTGTTATTGTTCCCGCCTTGGCCTCCACCGAGAAGGCACCTGCCAGGATCGGTCACCAGGGGCTGGACTCAGCCGGAGCCAGGGAATGAGGCTCCCCTCTCAGCGCCTCCGACGGGGGGCGAGGGGCCCTGCCGCAGACGCCTCATCGGTACGTCCCCATCCTGCCTGAGGACTGGCGGGGCGGCCAGCAGAGGGCCTGGCCTGGGGGCCGAGGCCGACCCTCCTGAGAACAAGATGGGGGCTCTGCCTCCCGAAGGCCCGAGTCCAAGCGGGCTCCACAGGCCAGGGGCAGCCTCGA